CAAGTATATCGTCGTGTACACGACGATATCCTCATCTTTAGTAAGACTGCAGACGAGCACGCTGAGCACCTGAATACAGTGCTAGGTCTCCTAAGACAGCACCAGTACAAGATTAACTTGGAGAAATGCGAGTTTGGTCGCACCAAGATTTTGTACCTGGGTCATGAGATTTCAGCAGATGGACCGAGGCCGGAAGATGCAAAGGTGGCCAGCCTACGTGACTGGCCTAGACCTCAGATTGTCATTGAGGTCAGATCGTTTTTGGGAATGACAGGCTATTATCGTCCTTTCGTCAAAAACTATAGTACGGTAGCCTCCCCATTAATAAATCTAACTCGACTTGGCACCCCTTGGGAGTGGACTGAAGAGTGTGAGGCAAGCTTCAAGAAATTGAAGTATGCTCTAGCACACTATGAAGTTCTCAATCTTCCAGATCTTGACAAGCCTTTGTTGTGACCACAGACTGTAGCCAAGAAATTGAAGCATGCTCTAACACCCCTTGGGAGTGGACTGAAGAGTGTGAGGCAAGCTTCAAGAAATTGAAGTACGCTCTAGAACACTATGAAGTTCTCAAGCTTCCAGATCCTGACGAGCCGTTTGTTGTGACCACAGACGCTAGCCAATATGGCATAGGCGCGATCCTTGTGCAACAGGAGGGGCCAAAGTTGAGACCGGTCGAGTACATGAGTAAAAAGATGCCTTCTCAGAAGTTAGCTAAGTCCACATATGAGAGAGAGCTCAACGCCCTGTACAGAGCGTTAGTTCATTGGAGACACTACCTCGTAGGAAGATTCTTCTATGTGAGGTCTGACCATGAGACTTTGCGTTGGATTAAGACACAACCTGTACTATCTGACGCACTCAAAAGGTGGATTCAAGTGATAGACATGTATGACTATCAACTTGACCCTATCAAGGGTACGTACAACAAAGTGGCTGATGCACTATCGCGAAGGGCAGACTATTTGGGCGCGCTAGTCACTGAGTTCGGCATATCTGACGAACTCGATCGCTGGTGGAAGCCTATCAGGGAGATCCAGAGATCATCCGTAGATTCCAAGCGAAGGACAAAAAGACTTTGGACGAATTTACGATGGTAGATGGCTTGCTGTTTCTCGAGAAGGCAGGGAATAAAAGATTGTGTTGCTAAGAGTGAGTCTTTGCGTAGTTTATTTTTAGGAGAATGTCATGATGCAACTGGTCATTTTGGCTATAGGAAGACATCAGCGAACTTAGTGCAGAGATTCTGGTGGCCCTCTGTGATGGAAGATGCGAAACGCTATGTTGAAACGTGTCAGGTTTGTCAAAGGGACAAACCAAAGACTCAGGCCGCGCTTGGGCTGATCAAGCCCTTGCCGATTCCTGAAGGACCAGGCCAAAGTGTGTCCATGGATTTCATGGATACCCTGGTGACCAGCAGGTCTGGAAAAAGACACATCTTTGTTATAGTGGATCGCTTTACTAAGTATGAATGTCTAATCGCTATGCCTGAAACTGCTAAAACTGACTTTGTCATCAAACTCTTCATGGACAACTGGGTAAGGGATTTCGGTCTACCTACGTTTATTGTTAGTGATAGGGATGTAAGATTCATGAGCGAACTGTGGCAGTCTACTGCTGAACAAATGGGCACAAAACTCCAAATGACTTCAGGGAATCATCCTGAGTTAAATGGTCAAGCGGAACAGATGAACCGAGTAGTACAACACTTGCTTAGACACTATATCAAGCCAAGTCAGGACGACTGGGACGAGAAGCCACCTCTCGTTGCCAGCCTGTACAATAACGTTGTGCATAGTACTACAGGCATGACTCCCAACCAATTGCATCTTGGTTGGAAGCCGCGGACTGCCCTTGACTTTCTACTACCAGAAAGAGAATCCACTGCAGCACCCGGCAGCATAGAGTTTGCTGTCAAGTATGAACAGATGCTGCAGCAGGCTGTTGAACATGTCAGAAAATTTTAGGAAGCAATGAGTGTATTTGAGAATAAGCATGGACGGCCTTCTAACTTTCAGGTAGGCGAGAGAGTCTGGGTTAAGTTCGTTGAGCTTGGTCAGGAGTTAGGCATATCCCGCAAGCTAATGTCACAATACTTTGGGCCCTGGGAGATCTTAGACATTGTAGGAGATCAACCAGACGGTCCTTCATATGTAATCCGCATCCCACGTCACTTGTGTACCTACCCTCTGTTCCATGTCTAAGTTAGCACCTTTTGCTGCCACTGAGCAGTTTCCCTCTTGAAGATCAATGCTGCCCCCAACCATGGATGGCAAAGTGGACGTGGACCAGATCGTTGAGCATCGAGTGATGCCTATTCCTCGACCATGAGGCAGAGGGTGCCCTCCTAAACCGAGAATGCAGTATCGTGTGAGCTTCAGTTATCATCTGGATCCTAAGGAGGATCGCTGGTTCACACGAGAAGAACTCATGAGAACAGCACCTCAAGTGATTGCAGGCTACGAAAGGGTTAACTAAGGGGAAGATGCCTGCAGAATAAGAGAATTCTCAGAGGACTCACAAAGTCAAGTCAGGGTCCTCGGTAGGCGTATGGGGCCCTGTGTACAGCATCGCCCGCCCTAAGTGAGGCGGAGGTGCCAGTGAAGGCGGGCCTGACATATCGCAAGAGGCCCTCGACTATCAATTTCATATTTGGGGTCCAGGCAGTTGCGATGCGCCAGTTGGTTGAGAGAAACTCAGGCCGGGCAACAAAGACATCTCCACGGCCTTCCGGGCTTTTCCAAAGAATGCAGGCCCTGGGCGTGATTCGCGGCCTCATACAGAGACAGTTGGGCGCCCAACCGAACGACGCCCAGCAGCCAAGTAGCTGCTGTACACAGGCAGCCTCCTGGGGCCTTCCGGAAGCTTCTGGGCCCAGGCCAGTGCAGCCAGGCTGCGCGAGCAGGCCAGCTCTTTCCATAAAGGAAAGAGCTCTCCCCTGGCAGCATCATTCAGGCAGTCGGGTTTTATGTCGATCATATAAAGCACCTACGCATAAAAAAAGGGCTGAAGAAACCAGTCCATGAGTAAAATACTACCTTCAATTCCTTGTATATTCAATAGAGTGAAACTTCCCACTGAGCAAAACATGCCAGCGGTACTCGAGTCCTCTCCGGACCGTACGAGATAGTCACCTATCATACGGCTCTCTATTCTACTTGCTTCGTAGTTCCAGTCTTHGAGTGAGTGAGTTGAGTGAGAGGCCGAAGTAAATAAAAGAAAACGCAAGAGCGCCCATAGGATCACGTATACTGACGATTTATTTTTAGAATTGAATTAATTTTGCCAGATTATGGAATACATACGTATATGACCTTTCCCGGAGAAGGATTGAGTTTGTGAGTGAAGTGAGACCCGTGAGCTCGCATGCTAGCGGCAGCGCCGCTGGAGCAAGAGCTCGCGGCTGCTGGCTGGTGCTGAGAGGCGAGGTGCAGCACGTGCGGTCGTGCAGGGAAGAAGGGCGCTGCTGAGGGCAGCGCCATAGCCCAGCCACCATAGCTGGTGGGCTTG